CGAACAGCGACTCACAACACCCCACCATGGAGGAGATGATGGCATTGATCAATGGCTTGAGAGAGGAGAATGCGCGATCCAGGGAAAGGCAGGAGGCTATTCAACGAGAAAACGAGGAGATCAGGAGGCGAGCGAATGAGATGCAGGCTATGATAACGGCCAATACCAGGTCGGCGGAGGAAGATGTCATGATGGAAGTCCCTAGGGATTTCTGACCTTTCTCGGATGCTATAGAGGCTGAGATCATCCCGAGCGATCATCGGGTCCCCCAGGTGGAACCTTTTGACGGAACCCAGGATCCTAGTCAACACTTGACGGATTTCCGAGCTCAAATGCTGATTTGTGGAGGGAGTATGAAAATTCGCTGCAAGCTGTTCATGGGCACGCTAAAAAAAGCGGCCCTTGATTGATTTAGTGGTCTTCCTGACCAATCAATCACCGACTTTGATGTCTTTAGTCGGCTTTTCATAGCACAGTTTGCGGCCAACAAAAAGAAACCGTCGATCATGTTAGACTTGTTTAATCTCAAACAGCAACGCGAGGAGTCGTTGAAAGACTTTTTGCAAAGGTTCAATGAGGTTGCTTTGAGGATTGCATCCTTGGATGAAAGGATGGTGGTCATCGCATTCCAGAAGGGACTAAGATCGGGTGCATTCGACGTTGCACTAGAGAAAGCAAATTGCCAAACGATGTCGGAGGTAAGAGCTTTCGCCCTGAGCCACATAAAGACGGAGGAGGGGCAACTCAACAAAAGGGCGGCAGAAAACCGAGAAGCTGAGGTGGGCAATAAAGAGGGCAATAAACATCTCCGGTCGCGTTCGGATTGGAGTAAGCGAGGTGACTATTATAATGTGAAGGAGGGCAATTACCGATAGGCAGATTATGGTGGTCGGACAAGGGGCAAGTGGACACGAAGCAACGAGGAGGAAAATTTTACTCCGCTCAATGTCCCTAGGAGGCAGATACTTCATGATGTCAATAGTGCATCGCTCTTTGATCTCCTATATATATATATATTGTTTGTATATTATCATATTATTAATTATAATAAAACTAAAAAAATTGAGTAAAGAAAATGAGAAATTCAATTATTTTTTAATTAATAAAATAATTTAATTTATATATAAAAAAAATTAATTTGGCACCTCCAAATTTTTTATCCAAGTTCCACTACTAGGTGTCATCTTATCCTATAGGGGTCAACCTAATGGAAATAGTTATACTTTCTTATTAAATTAACCAAAAACGAAGTCTTATATCATTTAAGAAATACCTTCCTCTCTTAACACCAACAAGACATCTTTTCAAAGATAAACTGTGACGACCAAATGAGCATCAAAGTAGATAATATCTTAAATGTGGTAACTCTAACAATGTTAATGGACTTGATGTCAAAACATTGGTGCTAGAAGAAAGGTTTAGACTACTCTTTTTCCTCAACCTTGATTGGGAAGACTTGTTCTACTATGCCAAAAAATCTCACATTGCTTAGAAATTGATGTCAAGGATAGTTTATAAATATCATTATCCCTTAACCCACCATTATGCCTTTTTGAGGACAAATTTGATGAGCCAATAAATTCTAAAGTGGACAATATCTCAAATAATCTCCTTATTCTTGTACCCATATAGATGGGGGTACCTATAAAGAGATTCCAATGTTAAAGTTTTGTCATATCCTTTTAGGTATATTTTGTTAATAAGAAGATAATAACAAAGGTTGTTCCTTGAATTAATGGAAAAGATAAGTATTTGAATAATATTTGCTTGATTAAAGGATAACGAGGAGATTTTTGCCATTATCCCTTATTTTCAAGGATCATGTGGTTATTTATGAACTATATATTAGGGTTGTTACTGTTAGAAAAGATAGTTGATCTAAGAAGGGGGTGAATAAAATTTTAATTTTTTTTAACTTTTCTTGGATAAAAACTTTATAAGTACCAGTTTGAGGTGGTGTGTAAAATAGTGGTACCAGTGTGGGTTATAGGAAGAGCAGTACCATCACCAACAATGACTTGATCTTGTCCGTGATAAGAATTGGTGAGATGCAGGTTGTCTAGGTCGTTAGTGATGTGATGCGTCGCACCAGAATCTAGGATCCAATTATTTGGTACATTTTGCTGCAA